GTGTTGTTCCTGGTGTCCCCCCGGCTTGGGGGGAGCCAGCCCCGCTCATAAGGTGTTTTCCCCCCAAAACTGCCAGCAGCCTGCCCCCAGCGTGAAGGGCAGAAACCCACCCCTTTCTCCTGCCCGCTTGTCCCCGGGGGTGGCGTGAGGGCAGCGAGGATGCTGGTGGCCCGTGGGGTACAGGGTGCGCTGCCCTCCCAGTCACTCCTGTAGGCCACCCCGTTTGTCCCGCAGCCCGAGGTCCCGCACGGCGAGCGGCGCAGCAGATCCCCGAGGAGATCCTCGGTAATGCGGAGCTGCGGGAGGCGGCGGAGGCCCTGCCCCGAAACTACAACTTCGAGATCCCCAAGACTGTCTGGCGGATCCGGCAGGCTCAGGCCAGGAAGGGTGAGCGCCGGCCCTGGGGACGAGGGGTTTTGGGGCTGGGTCGGTGCCACTGAGCTCCCCGGCGGCGAGGGGACCCGCTCGGGGCCAAGGCACGGGGCCGGTGCTGCTGGGGCAGGGATGGTGCCGAGCTGCCCGGCGTGCCCCGGCATGTTTAGGCTCTGTCTTGGCGAGCTCTCCTCCCCTCGAGGCGGGTTAATAGATCTGTATCTCTGGATTATAATCACATTGGACAGGACAGCTTGAGCTGCTCGGACCTGTCAGCCTGCGGGATGTGTCTGGGACACCGGCCAGGTCCCTGCTGCTCTCTCTTCTCTCCCTGCGCTTTCCTGCCATGCTGCCAGGGCCGGGCAGGGGGAGCCCCACAACGCCTGGCTCTGGGGGGCTGGAGGGGCTGACGGGGAGCTGGGCCACACTACGCCCTGGTCTTAACCTTCCTCGGGGTCCTCTGGGGTTTTCTGTAGCCCCGGAGGGGTGGGGAGTGGCCATGGTGGCCCCCGAGCAGGTGCTGCAGGGTGCTGCCAGGCCTGTCCCCCCTCGGCGTGCACATCCCTGCTAGGCGTGCGCATCCCGCTGTGGCTGAACTGGCTCTCGGTGTGTGATCGGCTACAGGCATCAGGGCATGGAGCCTCCCCCTCCGTCCTCGGGTGTCACCAGCGTCCCCACCCTCGCTTCGCACGCAGGCGGGGGCTGCTCGCGGGGTTGTGCGGTGCCGTAGGCTCCGGGCAGAGCCAGATTTGAAACGCTGTGTCCACCAGGGAATGTCTCTGCCTGCTGCCACCGAGCTGGCAGGGCTGGCAGGAGCTGGCAGGTGTCACAGGGGACGCTCTGGGAGCTGCTGCCTGAGCCGGTCCTGGCTGTGAAGCCGAGGGGCTGGAGGCTGCCGGGCCGCCCGGTCCGGCCCAGCTGCGGTGCAGGAGGCAGGGCTGCCCATCAGGACGCGGCGAGGCCGCCCGGCCGTGCCGCTCAGGCTTTCGTTGCCATGTTTTGCTGCTTGGCACCTCCTAATTAAATGTAAATATGCGGCTGGGATTTAGGCTTCAGAGCTGGGAGCGGAGCCCATCAGCCAGCCAGCCGTGCTGGGATTTAAAAATCTGCGCGTGCAGAGCCCAGCCAGGGGCTCGTTGCTGGGGGAACGCAGCCTCCTGCCGGGCTGCGGCCAACCCTGCCTGCGCCCTGCCTGCTGCGGGGTTTGCGGGGGCTGGCGTGTCACCCCCTGTCCCCATAGTGCCGTGCTGGCCAAGAGTGACCCAGCTGCCTCCCGCCACCCCCTCGCTGGGGGAGGCGAAGCTGTTTGCAGGTCTGCTTGGTGGTGGCAGTCTGGGGTGGAGGGCACTCCCAAATGGTCCCAAAGGGGTTGGGGAATGCCGGGACCCTGAGCTGCCCGGCCCTGCCAGGTTGGGCAGGGGCTGGCACAGCGCATGCAGCTTTCCTTGGGCCCTGCAGGTTGGAGCAGGGCGAGATTAGCCCGGTTTGGGCCAGGTCTTTACACAGCTCCGTGCTGGCCAGCAGGCTGGGCTTGGCAGCGCGGGGATTTCTGTTGGAGGGGGATCTGGAGAGGATGTTTGGATAGATATCGCTGGAGCTGGGATGTCTTAGTGGGATCGGGAGGTGAAATGACAACGGGATTAATGGGGCCTCCTCCATTCATCTCCCCCAGCATGGTCCCTGCTCCTCCCCACCGCCCCGGGGTAGCCTGGGGGGACCCACGGGGGGGTCCTGGCTGGACCCCAGGCGCTGCGGGGCCCAGCTGGGCTGCGGAGGCAAAGGGATTGTTCCCATCTGCGAGGAGGGAGCAAACCAAGAAATATCGTTCGCTGATGAATACATTCCTGCTAGGCACAACGCTGTGGCGTTGCCAGCCACCCTCCCAAAACGGGGAGAGAATCAGGGAGGGGAGGTGCGGAGAAGGGCAGCGAGGACGATCAAAGGTTTGGAACAGCTTCTGTACAAGGAGAGATTAAATAGATTTAGATCCTTTAGCTGGAAAAGAGGCGAACGAAGGGGGATATGATAGAGGGATATAGAATTGTGAATGATGTGGAGAGGCTGAATAGGGGATGATTATTCACTCTTTCTTGTACTGGGAGAACCAGGGGCACACGTTTACATTATTAGGAGCGGGTTTAAAATAAACAGAAGAAAGTACCTTTTCCTGTGCAGCACATAATTAAAATCTGGAACTCATTACTGTGGGAAGTGGGAGAGATCAGCAGTGTCAGCGGGTTCAAAAAGGGATGAGGTGTGTGCGCAGGGGCCGGGTGCGAGCAGGGAGAATGGATACGGCCCGAGGCAGGACCACGTGCACCCCGGCTGCCAGAGCCGCCGGGAGTTTTGGTCAATTTCTGGCTGTTTTGGGGAGGGCCGTTCTGCGGCTGCCGCTCCAGCTGGGTGTGTTGTCCCCGGCAGCTGGTGCCCAGGTCTCTGCTTCAGGGCGTCCCCTCCAGCGCCTCCTAACCCCGGGGCTGTTTCTCTTTCCCAGTGGCCCTGCAGATGCCGGAAGGGCTCCTCATGTTTGCCTGCACCATCGCGGACATCGTTGAACGGTAAGACGATGGGTTTTCCGCACTTCCCCGCTCGGCTCCAGGGGCTGGCGAGGGGATGGGGGCTGCTGCCGGGAATGGGGTGGCCGCTGGACAGGGATGCCTGGGCAGGATGAGGCCCAGGTCTACTGCCGAGGGGGCATGCGGGGGGGCCCCGGCACGGCTGCCCTCGCAGGGACACCTTGGCCACTGCCTGGTTGGGCACAGGCAACGCTGCTGCCCTGCGGCAGGTCGCAGACACCCCCTGCCAGCCCTGGGGACAGGGACCGGCACCGTGCCAGCTCGGCCCTCGCTGCTCAGCTTCTCCTCCCCTTGCCGCTCTGCTGGGAGCTGCTGACAAGCTCAGCGTGTTGGGGCCCTCGCCGGGGTGATGGAGCCGGAGAGCAGCCGTGTTAACAACCAGCTGACGACAGCCTGGTGCCTGCGCGCTCACCATGACAGCGCAGCCGGTGAAGGGAGGGCTGGCAGCGAGGCCACCGCTGCCGCGCAGGTCTCCTGCCCACCTCCCCCATGGCCCCGTCCTGTCCCTGCAATCACGGTCTGGCTGTGCTACTCTCAGGGCAGCACGGAGGTGCTTGGGGGCAGCCCTTCTCTGGCTGGGGAGGCCCGAGGCCACGATGATGGCCTGGGTGGGGTGACTGCAAGCGGCTCCTGCCGGGCGGCCCCTTCCCTCTGTGGCTCCTTTCCTGATTTTCTGTGCCACTTGGGAGGTGAAGTCGGAGGCGCCAGAGAGGAGCTGGGCTTTGCAGCGGCAGCGGATGCAGGCACCTTGCAGAAATTGGCCATAATCTCCTTACCGCCGAGCGTGCCTCCCTCCCTCCCTTCCTGCCCGCCGGCTTCTCCCCGCTGTGGCTGCCACCTCTCCAGCCCCTCTCTGTTATCGCACAATGAATTAGTGCTAATAGCACCGCGTGCCTCGTCTGCCGTTGGGGTCACGGCACTCATTAGTAAGCTGCCTTCCCAGGGCGAGCAGGCTTGCC